ACTGGCTGAGATAAAGCCTGCACAGCTGCCTGTGCGCTTGGAACTGTCTCCAGCTACAAGCCTAGCGTTAAAAAACAACAAGAACAACCAACTAACAAGACCCCCAAGCCAAAAAACCTCATGATACTAAGCGTTGATTGATCCAACAATTTTTAAACTGAGCAAATAAAGAAACAAGTTTCAGAGGCTATCAGGCATAATATTTTTCAAGAAAAGAGCAGGGGTGGTTGCTACACCAGCTTCTCAAATATTGCACAAGCCAACAAATAAATAGCAGACGTGAGCTGAACGTAGGAGCTGCTTCGTGGTGTTACACAGTTTGCAGGAACTATGTAAAAACATTTCCATGTTTACCACTGACGAGCATGCCTACATTAAAATCTTTCCCCCTTGTGGTCTTACACAGTCTACCTTCCCTGGACATCTTTCAGCAAGCTATGTTTATATGGAATCTTCTCCAGATAGGACATTGGTAATATCCAGTCTATTTCAGTAGAAGCAAGGTCCCTGTAGAGGTACTTGTCAAAACTCATTCAAAACCCACTCATAATATATAAAAAAAAATAAATAAAAAAAACCTAGTCAGCTTTGATAACACCATATGTTTCTTTCCAGTCATTGCATCTTGGTCCAAATAGAGTAGGTTACCCTTGGGAGACAGAGGAGGCTTTAGCCTCTTCAGTTTTCTCAGGATGTAAGTCTCTCAGTCAACACCAGGGCCAGCCAGAGCCATCTGCTGCAGTGACACATCTGCTGCTGCCTGTGAGGCACGCTGTACAAAGAGCAGCTGCCAGCTGCCACCTGAGCTTGGTGGATTGGCTGATGCCCCTACAGGTGGCCAAGCCTCTTACACTTTACCAGCAATTTTATTATCTGTTCAGTCCTTGAGCCTCGATGTTCAACACAAACACGCTTCATTCCCACTCTGCTCACAAAGTATATTCTTGAGTAACCAACAATCTGGTTGCAGGCAGTTTTCTTCTCAGGTGTCTTTGGAGCTTCAGTTTCAGTGCTGTTCTCACCTGGGGTGGAAGCAATACATGCTGTGTGCTCACCAGCACAAATGAAAGAAGGTGGGAGCTAGTCTCTTCTCACAAGCTAAAACCAATATGACAAGAGGAAGTGCCTTCAACTTATGCTAGGGGAGGTTTAGGTTAGACATTAGGAAAAACTTCTACACTGGGAAGGTTATCAAAGCCTGGAACAGGCTGCCGAAGGAAGTGGTTGAATCACCATCCTTGGATGTACTTAAAAGACATCTAGAAATGGTGCTCAGAGGCAGGATTTAGAGTTGGACCTTTTAGAGTTAGATAATGGTTGGACTTTATGATCTTGAAGGTCTTTTCCAACCATAATGATTCTATGATTCTCACGGAGTCCACAGGTACAAGGACTCCATACATTGAGCCTTTCCTGAATACATTTTGACAGCTAAGAAGGTGCATCTCTGCTCGTCTGCATCCCAGTTGTTTACCCACATTAACAGTCAAACCATTTTAGTGCTGTTACTTTTCTGCTTGATAGGGTGATAGTTTTGATGTGATTGCTGGCCAGTGAGATCTCTAATTCATCCTGGGGAAGTTACAAGGAGGAAATAACATAGGAACTCCTGAGACTACAGCTGCATCTTCCATTTCCCTGTTATGCAGTGCACAAGGGGCCTGAACAAACTGCACTTATAGTATCTCTCAGCCACACCTGTCCCAGCTCACCTCTCCACCAAACCAGAGCCCTGCTAGCATTTGGTTTTGTGTGGTATGTCAGATCAGACTAAGGAGGTTTTTAAGATGCAAATAGGAGAGGGGCTGAAAAGCTACTTAGGAGCTACTTTTCAACAATTCAGATATAAACCATCTCACTGCAGTGCTAGCAATAAAAATCCAGTTCACAACCATGTTATCAGGATAGTGCAAAGGCAAACAGATACAGTTCAGATAAATTCCACCCACAGAAGACATTTGGCTATTGCATGCAGGGGGTGCAAAATTAAAAATTAACTGGGGAAGATGGATCCCCAGGCTGCTTCAGTGCAACAGCTTTGAAAGGAAATCTTCTGCATAACATACTTTCATATTTTGTGCTTCCCTTCCTGCCTTGTGTTTTCCCCAGCTCTAACATTTCTACCTGGTGCTGTGCCTGGCAGATGCAGAAGCAGATAAATACCTCTTATCACCTCACAGCTCCAAGCTCTGGAGCACAGCTGCAGCCAGCACTAAGGAGATGAGGAACTTTTGAGCAAAACCAGGGAGCTGTGTGCAAACCAAAGCATTTGTGAAAGCTGAAGACAGTTAAGCTGCTGAATTTCCTCTTTTAGTTTACTGCTTTCATCCCTATTTCCTTCTCTTATCTGTGCTATCATTTTCCTCATTTCAGCAACCTCCTTCCGTGCTTCCACTTTGACTAGTGAGAATAGTGCTGAGAACTTTGATCAGTTCCAAGCAGAGCACAGGAAGGCAGCTCCTACCTCACCACTCCCTTGGCTGCTGTGAACAAAGAGCAAACTGTGAGAGTGTGTAGTGTCAGAATTACTGGAGAAGACACTGAGGTCCTTTAAAAAAAGAAAAAAAAAGAAAGAAAAAAAAAGAAAGGAAAGGGGAAAAAAAAGAAGAAAAAATGTCACCTCTGTAGCTATAGGCCTGCAGCATAACATCTGCATCCCTCTGTCATCAAAAGGAGAAGCTATCTGAACTGCACCCTATGAGTTTAATGTGTAGATGGTATTTTAGCTTATGCCTATAGCCCCAAGAGCAGCAGGGGATTCCCAACCTCCATTCAACACTAGCTGAGTCACAGTTGCCATCTGTCAGCTCCACACACTGGCTTTGTCACCCTGCAAGAGAAAGGAGCTACAACTCTTACCACCTGCTCTCTTACAGATTAAGGGGAGCCTACACGACTCGACAGACACTTTACA